GGGGGGGGCGGCTCACCCATAGGGAATACAATGAGACTGAAGTAGCCTGGAGCCTCAGCAGCGGTCACAGGACGTAAAAAGGGACCGGCCAATTTGTGCGCCTTTACTGCCTCCAAAACGGGACACAGTCGATCAGCAAGAGCCGAAACGGCATCATTTAAGGTCTTCGTATCTTCGTGAGTTTTTTGCTTCTCCTCTGCGAAGCATGTGGGTGAGGTGGCGACCTCCGTCTTCGTCTCTGATGTTCGTCTAAAAAGGATCAATGTTCACATTGTAGGACATTCAGGGGTAGGTCTCTGACTAGACAGAGGCAGCAACAGTCACTCGTAGACGGTCTGCGTAAATAATAATAACCCAGAAGCTACACTGAGTGCACATATTCTTAGTTACGACCCAAATCCTTTAAGTTTGAACAGAAGTCAGATGTCAAATAAGCACTGAAGAATCGAAGCATGCAAAAAACCATGAAATATGCCTAAAAAAATTACAACTAAACAAAGTAAACAACAGAGATGATCGGAAGCAACTACCTCGAAGCCCAGGTCTACTTCCACAGCATAGGGGAGCTGGGGATACACTGGGGATAACAAATGATCCTGCAACCTTACTTGGTGGTTACCGTACGGTATGCTTACTGAAAGAGTTCAAGGAGTTATGATTAAGGTGGCTTGCATTCGCTTGGGCAATTATAGACAGGAGTTTCGGGGCTTTGTGCGGGGGAGGTGGTTTGAATTATATGATTTTTTGAATAGGGGCATCGGGTTATGTTTAGGGATATTTCCGACAAGCATGGGGAGCTTTTAGGACTGCAACCAGAACGTTGGCGTTTAGAGTTTAGAGTTTAAGGCTATGCTATGCTTAGGAAATTTGGGATCCGATTTCCGGCTGGAGCTAGGCGCTTCTAGTTGGGGGCAGTATTTACTATTAGTAATGCAGGGCATTTGTTGCGATTAGGCATTTTGGTTGGGAGTTGGGGTTAGTAATTAGGATTCGCAGTTAGTTTGTTGATATGGTTAATAGGGCAAAAGTAGCTTATGTAGCCCCACTCATATACTGCTAGTCCCAGGATTTTTTCCTACAAAAACGGTGGTTATAGGGTTTTGGGGTGAGGAAATAGTATAGGCAGAGAAGGAAATTTTTAAAAGTGTAAAGTGAAAAAATGTAGTCGAAATTGCTTCCCGCGGCCACAGGGAG